GATGCCTTGAAAGTGGACAAAACCGGCTTTTTTGACAAAACATGTTTAGGGTTCAGATCGCGCTATATGTGGAGAATAATGCACGGCAATCAGCTCATTTTTTTTTTTAAAGTGGCGTTTATCGGTTTTTGCAAATGAACTCTTCATATGACCACCCACATTTATATATCAACACCTGCTCAATGTCCTTCAGTACCTTGGCCAGCAATAAAGAGCAACAGCATTATCTATAGTTGCCTGCACCAAATGTGATGAAAAACAAATATATGCAAATGTATGAAATCTGTCCCAACAGTTCTTAAATATGAATAATTCTTATAGGTTTATCAAAATGTATTCAGGTAAAGACATGGTTTGGAAAAGTTTTTTCTTTTGGTTTTGCACTCTCATTAATAACATTTTGCTATTATTATTATCATTACTATTTTTTAATCAAAAACATATCGTAGCTTTAAAACCTTTTCTTTTTCTCTCAACCTGGGAGGGTGAGCTTATGCTGTTGTTAACAGAAAAAAAAACTACTTTAATGTTCTTATAGACACAAGATTTATATTTTTACTCTGTGAAGCAATTTGTTTTTTGTCTTTTGCAAAGCAATATGGGTAATGAAAAGTAGGTAACGATTGATCGGCTACCGATCACTATCGGCCGATAATCACTTTGGGATGATTGATCAGCGGTCTCTAAAAAGCTGATCTCAAAAAAACGATCTGAAGCTGATGACGCTGCCGTGAGAGGTTTGGCACGACATGCAGCGGCACCGTCTCGGTTTCTGTCCGGCGCGGGTGAAATAATTATAATGCTGAAGGTGAGGTACTCACCGTCATATTTCTTCATTAAATAACTTAATTTGAAAACCTTGTGTGAGACGTAATTTCACAAACAGTGTGAGTGAATCACCGCGCACGCGCATTCTCTCAGAATACACAAATGGCTTCAAATAACCACACAATCGCGTCTGTCTATAAGCGAGCTGCACGCTGCACAGTTGACACAGGAACTGTCACTTGCACAATCAAGGCAGTGTCACATTGTCACTAAAGTTTATAAACTGCATTACTTTTTAATTCTTGCCAGTGTTTAACCATTCAGCGCTCGCGCGTTCTCCTGGAGACCGTGCACTCATGTACACTGGCAGCGCACACACCACGCTCACATTACGGTTCACATTACTCCGTTTGCAGTGCGTATTTTTTCCACGCTCATGTTAACGGATTAAAGCGTTCACTGCACACGGTTGCGGTCCGGCAGTGTGTTCAGGAGCGGTGCGTCTGCAGCAGTGCAGAGATCGTTTCCACACGAGTCTGAATTAAAGTAACAGCGCATTGTTTGCAGTAAATATGAACATGGATTGATACGAAAATGTAGTAATTACACCATAAATGCATATTATTAAAGTCTACTGTGTTTCACAGTCAACACATATGGCTTTTTGGCTAGGTTTAAAGGGAAAGAAGATAAAGATAAAGAAAACTTTTAGATAAAAAAAGACAATAATAGATGATAACGTAAGAAAAGCAGTTTAAATGTTTTGCCACTTGCTTGAGCATTCTAATATATAAATCTAGAATTAAATGCAAAAGTAAAAAGCATCGAATAATGTGTTGCTTATATTTATTATGGTTAAACATGTCTGTGAAAGATTGTATTACTGTACTGTGTAAAAAAAAAAAATTGCAATGCAGAAAAAGCATTTTCAGTGACAATGTTTGGATTTGAAATCAAAACAATGGATAAATGTTGTGTTTGTGGTGAACAGCCACGGATCAGTAGCGGACTCCTGTGTGAAAGCTGCTTCCCCTCTCACAAGAGTCACTTAAGAGGGGAATTCACCCCATTTTCAAAAATGAAATTCAGGCCCTGAATAAATGTCTAAAAATCCTGATTGGAGTATCACTATAAATAGTTATAAATGATTAAAAAAAATGCTTTAAAAAGATCAGGATCGGTATCGGCAGATACTGCTTTCTGTGATCGGCAATCGGTGATCGGCCTCAATAATCTTGATCAGCGCACCCCTAATGAAAAGCACTCTCCTTTCCACTTTCCTCCGTAAAAAAACTATGGAAACAGTCTGATGTACTTGTGTATTTCAGTAATATTTGGAGGCACTCTAGAGTGCATGCTTTGAGTCTGAAAGGTTTTACAGTACTGTTATGAGGTGCAGTCCAATGTCTTTAACGTTTACACAACTTTACACAAGGCTTTCATTCTTGGTATGACATTGTCGGATTCTGCTTCAGCAATCAGGAGTGTTATAGAGTTTGGATGATTTAGTTAGTTTTAGGTTACCCGAAGTTCACAGAAGCTCATGTAACTAAATACTTTACCTGCTCTGAACTGTGTCTGGGGCTTTATTTGACTTTCTGGATCAATCTTAAAAGATGTTTTCTCAATAAAACAGCACTCAATCATTTTTCCTCATTAAAAACGCTATCTAATAAAACTAATAAATGAATAGTGAAGCTAATTTAATGACACAGCATTTAGGAGTGTTAAAGACCAAACAGAATGTATTAAAGTAAAAAAAATACATAAAATATGCAAGTACACCTATCCAGACAGCCGAATCCCTGACAATATTCAAGAAACAACTCAAAAATTCTGTGAGCACTTAACTACATCCTACTGACTCCAAAAACTAAGTCACTTTGCATAAAAGCACCTGCTAAATGAATAAATGAAAGATGTTAATGTACACAATAACACACTGATCATCTTCTCTCCCACCAGGTGGCACTTTGGACTCTGGGTCAACAAGTAGCCAGTACTGGGTATGTGGTGGAGCCATACAGGAAGTATCCGTCTCTCCTGGAGGTGCTACTCAACTTCCTGAAGACAGAACAGAACCAGGGGATTAGGAGAGAGGTACTGATTTCGGCTCCTGTCATTGAATGCCAGTTTCCACGAATGTGGGTGCAACAGTTATTTGAAAGGAAGTGCTTCAAACAATGTTCAAGTGATGTTTTTCCAAAATTTAGATTTTTATTTATTTATTTATGTAATGAGCTTGATTAATGCAGTCAGCACAATTTGTATAAAAACTAAGAAAATTGAATGTTTGTATACTTTTATTTTATTTATTTATTTTTTAATGGGGAAAATTAAGCAGTAACATGGGTGTATGCAAAATATGAGACACAGCTAAAAATTAAGTTTTGGTAATTATAGTTAATCATTACATTTTTTTTTTTTTACCATAAATTGGTTATAAGTAAAACAGATCATGCCAATTACGCTGTAGTGTGATAATTTGTCATTTTTATATAAGAGTGTACATGCATATCATGTACTTAAAACTACTTATCTAACCACTTGCTATCTATGTTAAATAGGACATGGGATTTGTTTCAAATATTTTGTGGGACACTGAGGCTGTGTCTGAAAGCTGAAAAAATCCTGCCTCTGTAGCAGGCCTGGCGGCTGAATTTGACCTGCTGTCCTGTTTTTTTTGTTTGTTTGTTTTTTTAGTTATTATTATTATTATTAATATTTTATATTTTTTCCTTCCCAATGTACCAAAGTCATCATTTCCGATTTTCTCATTCGATAATGAATCGATAATAAATCATAAATCGGTTAGTCTTGACTGGTTAGTCTTGAATTGCAATGAGGTGGTTGTTTTGCAACAAGGTGGACACAGTTCTTCTGTTCATAACAGTAGACCTGCTGGTGAAGAATTGACAGGTACAAGAAAAAAGAGGAAGAGACAGAGATATTGGGGAAAATTAAGAAAAGGGAAGTGAAGGTGCAGTTCAAAAACCTTTAATTATTCATATAAGTGAAGCGCATATCTTTAGCGAAAGCAGCGCGGAGAGCTGCTTCTGAAACGTGCCGCGGCTCCGCTGGTGTAAACACAAGCATTGACTAGAGTGGCCGCGTCAGAGCCATAATGCGCCGCAGTTGTGCAGTGTAAATTAGGGGTAAATAAGGGGTAAGTCACTCTCGCGGTATTTTGACGTCATATGATCGGTCTGCTTCAAGTCAAACACACAGCTGCTGCTGCCACCTTATGACAATAGATTTACACTTCGAATTAGGTAGTCTGTCATCGATGACAGTAGCTCATTGGAAAAGGATGGAAAATGCCCTTCATTTTGTTTGCACTAATAAATGCTGCTGCCTGCCAGCTGCAATCACCAATAAAACGTTGTTCCATGTTTTTTTTTCTAAATCGTCATAAATATCGTTATCGCAAATATTTTTGAAATATCGTGATATAATTTTGAGGTTATATCGCCCACCCCTACAGTCCGGCCCTGCATAAGGAAGTAGGAAGGCAACATGCTCAGGATGTAACATGTCCAAATTCAAAGCTCATGTCACATCCTGCTCATGTCATACCTTCATCTGATCGATTTTTCAAGGCAGCATATAGATACAGATGTGTCCTTCATTGCCTATGGTATCCCACAATGCTGTGCTTTCCATTCCATGACAGTTGAGCTAAACATAAAGATGGAGTCTGAAAGTTGCAGTTAGTAGTCAATTTGTGTGTAAATATCAGAAATCAGTTTCACAAGGTACCTTCATCTTCAAACGCTGACTGCTAAATTATTGCCTGATAGGGTAGCAGGGCAACAAGTCAGATGCCTAAGCTTTCAGATGCAGCCCAATATGTACCCTAGAATAGTGGTTCCCAACCATGTTCCTGGAGTATCCCAACACTGTCTGCTTAATCAAACAAACCTAATTCAACTTGTCAGCTCATTAGTTGGGAACCACTGCTCTAGAATATGAAACCTCTTGCATTTTAAACTGACTTTGAGGTTCTGTCGCCTTTGTTAGGCCATACGTGTGTTAGGTCTACTTGGAGCTCTGGATCCCTACAAACACAAGGTGAACATCGGTATGATTGACCAGTCTCGTGATGCTTCAGCCGTCAGCCTCTCAGAGTCCAAGTCCAGCCAGGATTCAGGTAATCAGACACACCCGTATACTTGTTTGAGCATGCATGCCTAGACACAGTGGGCTCTAATCACATTAATGTGAGTTCACATCAACACAATTAATTACAGATGCACATAAGATTTTGCTCATCTAAGACACACATTCTCCAGAGCAAACAGAGCACATCTTCATACACAAATGTCCCTTTCCAAAGACAGAGCCAGAACTAGCGTGCGCTCACATGTTGGCTCAGATTGTTTGGCCTTTCACAAAGCTTTGTGTTTCATCCCTTTCTTTGTGACTTTCTCTTTGGAAATGTTTTTGCAAATCCATACCATAAAGTCAGAACAAACAGTTCTCAGTTATCAAATAAAGACGTTTCCTCTCCCACTGTTGTGAACACAGTGCCCAAGTAAAACGTGTCTGCTAATCCTCAGCCCAGAACCTTAATGAAATGTTTTTTTCAATACCAGTTAACAGCATTCATGGCATATCGTTAGATACCACAGAAAATGATCTTGTCTTGCTCTTCAGTTAGAGAAAAATATGTACATATTTATACTAGAGGTTTGTGGGACATTCTGCATTTTTGGGGTAAAAAAGCAGAAATATGAAGCTCATATTTTTGTTAAAGCATGTTTGTATTATTTTTCTCTACAAACAATTGTCTTAAATTAGTCTAAATTGTCATTATTGGGTTGAAACTACTATAAAAGCATTAACCTTTAGTCAAACAAAGGGATCATGTTAACTAAGTTAAAATGCTGCTAGTGAAGGGTTTGGGACTGTGCAATGTCTTGCGGTGCCATCAGCCAATCACCATTGCCCTGATGCTATTAGGTGTGTTTGAAATTGGCTGCAGCTTGATTTAACCGATCGGCATGATTTGCCATTTGCAGTTGGGGGAGGAGTTGAAAACGAAGCCATCATGTTCATTGCACGTCATGTGCACATTTTTTGCTCACTGTTGTGACGTTCGTGCTGTGTTTGCGTACTTCATTACAGATGAAGTGGCTTAGATGCAATATTTGTCGAATACACAGAAGTTTTAGACTTTTTAACATAGCAACAGAAACACTTTTCATTCAATACTTTTTGTATTGCTTAATACAGCGCCTATATGTACAAGAATAAAGTTAAACAAATCAATACTATTTAAGTAAAGTAGGGTCTATATTTGTATGTTTTGTTTTGATAAACATGACAATATAACATTAAGATTACATGATAGTTTTATGAAAAAGATTTAAGTTATATAAACAGATTTAAGAGCATTGGCGAAACTGAAGGTGTCAGAATAAACACTAAACAAGAATAAACACTGAATCCAGCCAATCGTGAAACGCATGTCAACAACATGCACAGTTTGTGCACCTGCTCTGGGAAAGCTGCGCAAAATGAGTAGCTCTCAAATCGTTCTCGCGGTACTTAAATCGCATACTGTATGTCACTGTGATGGTGCCATCAACAGGCATGCACTGCTTCGAGTCAGATGCCATTAAAGCGGTCATTAAAGCTCCTCATGGCATGTGTCTGGCCTCTTTGGCCGTTGTTCAGAGTATCAGAGTCCACCAGCTCAGACCCTCTCCTGTTACGCAGCAGAGAGAATTAATAGTTTTAAAAGCAGGGCTTCATAAAGAAGCGTGCTGCAGGAAGTGTGGATATCTCCCGAGTGATGCATTGGGGATAAAGTACAGGTTACCGTCTGGGGCAGCTCTGTCTGGATCTGCACTTTTACTCTAGTCCCACTTTGAGAAAGCCTCTTCTCACAGGCAGAGAACTGCCTGCTGACCCTCTTATTGTAATAATAGAGCAATGGGAAGTTTTATTAGCTGAAGGTGAGCTCAGTGAGTGATGTTAATGGTGGGCAGAAAAAAAGTGTATATGTAGCTGTCAGGATCTTGAATCATTTTGGTCAGTAGCTTCTTTAGAATACTTTTATTACTGGTATTTTATTTCTTAAATATAAGCACATACTATGACTCTCATGAGAAGACAGAAGAAAACTGAGATAGACTGAATCCATAAGAGCTTTGGCAGCATTTCTAGAAGTTACAGTACTGTGAAACACTTTGATGTTCCTAAAAATAATGTCATTATTTCTATTAACTTCTGTTTACTAAATCACATCGATATTTGGTGTGACCACCTTTTGCCTTAAAACAGCTTTTGTTCAAGGTACATTTGCACATAGTTTTTAAGGTAGCTTTGCAGATAGATTTCTGAAAATCATCTTGGAGATGTTACCAATTCTTTTGAATTTAGTCTGTCACAGTTTTTCCTGTCTTTTCATTTACTGACTGGACTGACTAGTTCAGGAAAGACTATCAGAATATTTTTATATAATATTCTGCCAAGATCGGGGGAAGAATGCACATCATGAGAAGCATATGGTTCTGGCCGTCTTTATGCACTGTCTGTAGATTACCATAATAATCCTAATAAGCATGTAGACTGTTCAGCACTCTGCGTCACGTTTTTAGTGCGCAGTGTATTTTAAACAATTATTTTGAAAGAGTCTGTCTCAAAATGGTGTAGTATGTTGCATTAATTTCCATCTTTCATGCACGCTCTCTAAAGCGAATGAGTGAGTGGTCACAGGAGGTAGAAACAGCAATGTGTCTCGGATGACCGCTTGTGATCAGATCTCCGACAATTCATATTAATACCAGGTGGAAACAGGTCCTTAGACACCCCAGTGTCTGCCACTGTAAACCAAATGAAAGGACTTGAAACCCTTAAGCGCAGTCAAACAATTCCAGATCGCCTGTTAACCCCACATCAAATGGCACATATATTTTACGGCACGGCCTGCTGTGTATGGGAAACAGATGACTGCATTACATCATTCAGATATATACACACACAGATATAGTTTGTTTTTAACAGAGGTATGTGTGGTAGAGTTTTATGACTGTAGGAAGCGGTCAGTAGCAGGCCGCGCTGCCTCCTGGGTCACATACTGTACTGTAGTTGTGCAACCACGAATCCTGCAATTTACTAACTGCTCTGATATCTTCATGTTTTTATTCCTTAAATTACTTTTTAAAAGGTGTTGGGAACACTGGGATACACATTTGTACCCTATTTACCTCTACAGGGTGCATTTTAGTATCTTAAAGATATTAAATGTAACTTTTTGTGTATGACTTTACTAGTTTCACAGCTGAATTGCAAACATAAGGTAAGCAAACAACAAACTCTGAAGTGACCACCCAAATGAAAGGCTTAAAATTCTTCTTGCAAAATGTAATGACTTTTGTCACATTTGACATTTTGGATGATGTTTTTCTGAACAGCTGACTACAGTACCAGTGAGATGCTGGTCAACATGGGCAACCTGCCACTAGACGAGTTTTACCCAGCAGTTGCCATAGTGACTCTGATGCGCATCCTGCGTGACCCGTCGCTGTCCAATCATCACACCATGGTGGTGCAAGCCGTCACCTTCATTTTCAAATCGCTCGGACTGAAATGTGTGCAGTTCCTGCCTCAAGTTATGCCCACCTTTCTCAACGTCATCAGAGTGTGTGATGCCAGCATCAGAGAGGTACGCTGCTATCACAGAAATAAGGTGGTATTCTCCTCAAAAATTTTAAATAGATTTTAAATAGAATGTTAAAACATAAATCATATGAAAGCCAGAAATGTCAAGTCACCTTTATTTTTCATAGTGGCTTATAAAGATTGCTTTCAAGCAGCTGCACAGTAATGTATGGCATGGAAGTGCACAAACATACTTGCTGATGCTTTGCCGACGCATTGCAACATTTAACCTGTTTTTCCATTAATTAGGTTAATTAATCTAAGTGACAAAGTGAGTGAAATTCAACTGGTTTTGAAGAATATTCCAGGTTCAGTAGAGGTTAAGCTGAATCGACATAATGTAAATTAAAAAAAATAAACAAATAAGGTTACAGTGAGGCAATTACAGTGAAAGTGAATTAGTTTTTGTTTTTTTAGGTGATTTAGTTTTGAAGAATTTAAATGCAGAAATGTGAAGATAATTTTGTAAACGTATTTAATTCTTCTGTTAAAACTTGTGTATTATTTGAGCTATAAAGCGGTTTAAATTAAACTCAGTTGAGCTGAACTTGGATATGGAAGTTTTTTTCCTAACAAAATTAAAATCAAATGCTCAAATGATCAAATAATAAATTAAATACTTCTAGCTTCTCAAATAAATTAAATGCTTAAATGCAATTTAATTTCCTCATTTGGAGAAGCATAAACTGCAACAAAAATAAAATGAAACATTATGTTGAGTTGGCAAAGATTGCTGTTTAAACTTATTCTTATTTATTTATTCTAATTTAACTCCTATATCTACCAAACTCAAGTCATACCTTGAGGTTGTTTGCACTTAAGCCTGGAATACACAAAGCAACTTTTAAAAATGGAACTCGTATTAAAAACACGAGTCATCACACTTAGCATACATGACTATCATCATGCTTAGGTAAACGCTAAAACACCAGCAACCTGCTTAACTTGTTAAAAACAAGCTACCAAAATTCAACATCATGCTAGCAATGACTTTCTTTTTTCAGACTATTTAAAGTTTATCTTGTGAAACTTTATCTAATTAGTTTTGATATTTCATTTTCATTATCAATTCAGTATAAACCTGTCAAAATTAAACTTTTAATCAGTTCTTAAATGATAAATCAAATGCTCAAATTGACATCACAAAAGACAAGTCACTCAATCAAACATGGTCATGGTATGGTTGGCTAGGCTGGTTGCATATAACAACTTCTGAGGATCAATATTTTACCTGCTTTGCTGCTTCAGAAGTCAGTTTCTACTGCTGTGTTTTTTAACTGCATACCATGATGTTTTGTGCAGCTAGTGATACTTTCTTGTAATTAGTGCATTATCACTTCTAACATTCCCCACCATTAACCATTAATTTACTTTCCTATTCAGTCCCTGTATTTTTGTTTAGAATTTTTCTTTTTTTAGGGTAGTAAGTTTTCTTCTGGAAAAGGTAGATTCAGTTTTGTTTGTTATTTTGTCCTTGGCCCAACCCTGAAGCCCATTCGCTTCCTTTTTGATGTTGTGTGCTGATGGTGTCTATTGAACATAAAAATAAAAAATAATAATAAATAAAAAGAAAGAATACAAGCAGTCCGGTGTTATTCTCCTGGACCCGAGACGTAGCAACATTCATCATAATTAATCAAAAACAAAGTGCAACCAGTGTTGTCCAGTTCACAAACAAACAACTCTTATGAGCCGGGTTTTACAAGATTTCTCAAAAGAATGCAGGCTTGTTAGTTTTATGTTAAGTTCTAGGGTCTATAAATAATTGGTACAGTAAAATTTCTCAAACCTTGAATTTCATTAAATCATCATATTAGCTTTGTGTCAAGCTCCAGTAGACTCAATACAAGGAAGCAAGTGTGAAGTAGTCTAAGTGGAATAAGTCACTAGATTCTACAGGATTAATTAAGAACGTGGTCTACATGGGAATATTGTGAGATAGTCTTCCTAACTTGTGTTGGCGCCCCGAGGAGGCCTGGTCCAGCCACTTTGGTCCCTGTGCATTGTCCGTTTGAGCAATTGATTTGTAATTTGTTTTATTTTAAACAGTTGATTTATCATTTGAACACTAGATTGATCAATTAAATATCAAACACAAACATTGTATTTCATTTTATTTTTGTTCTAGTTAGTGCTTCATCAAATTAGAAAATACAATTCCATTTAACATTTGATTCATCATTTGAGCTGCCATTTTGAAAATTGTATTTATTATTTGATCAGTTGATTTAATTTTCTAAAATTATAGAATTTTATATTAAAAATAAAAATTCTATACCCGTGTAACGATGGAGGCGACAACGGAGTGGGGATCCAATTGCAGGCTTTATTAAAAGAGAGCGTGGTCGAAACAGGCAGGGTCAAACATCAGCAAACAATCACATCCAAGGCAATGGCAAAAGAGTAATCCATGGAACAGGTGAAGGTACAGGCAGGTAGCAAACAATCAGAGTCAAGGAAACTGTCCACGATCAAAACACTAAGGCAAGGCAAAACTAGGAAACTTGGAAAAACAAGGAACTCATGGGACACTAGGAAAACGTACATTCAATCACCAGCAAAGTCAGAGCGTGTGTGTGGTACTTTTAAAGTCCTTCTAATGTGAGACAGCTGTGAACTGACTATGAGATCTGATGAAAGACAGGTGATTGCAATTGATGATGTGTCCAGGCAGAGGATTATGGGAAATGGAGTCCGGGGTGAGTGGTAAACCGTACAGGATGGGGTGCCCTCTAGCGGAACTCATGGGCACTCCAGCTAGAGATCGTGACAACCTGGAATATTTGTTTAACTTGAACCTAACATCAAATCAAGTTTAATGTACTTGTAATTGTGAGTGAACCTACTGTACCGCAAGATAAATTTCAGACTTTGTCTGACAGTAAAGTTAAATCGTAAATCGTACAGTATTTCTGATTTTAGAAGTTTTGGTTGTACCTCTCCTGTCATCCCTTTGCGTCTCTCTTATTTTCATCTTTTTTCTTCAGTTCCTTTTCCAGCAGATGGGCATGGTTGTGTGCTTCGTCAAGATCCACATCCGGCCATACATGGATGACATCTTCACACTGATCCGGGTGAGAGACTTGTTCACACATCTTCTTGATTCTCCTCTAAAACAAAGTATTAGGCCACAAAAACAAAAATGTGCACTTGATACCCTTAAAATGCTTGTTAAAAATGTTTTTGTCTTTTCTCATCATCGTTTCTGTGCAGTTCTTTTGTGCTAAAATTCAGGGCGTGTTAGTCCCATTGAGTGGACTAGACAAAGACTTGTTTCTTTTGTTTTGACCCCTGCTGTCGCCCTGCAGCCTGAAACGGGTACTTCAAAGCCCATATAAAACTGATGGCAGGACATAGTGTCTTTGACACTTTGTCCATTTGTGGCTCTCTTAGTACTCAACCAGTAGAGCATATTGGCTGCTTTATGAAGGTGCTTAATTCACACTTAATTCCACTTGCATCATCACTACTCCCAATTCTACTTTTTTTTTTTCGCTGCTATTTAGCACCACCGTTGAACTTGCGGTGCCATAACACTAAAATATATATTTATTGAATTATTTGTTACTGTTATTTTGTAATTAACTTACTTTAATTAGTTAGTTAATTTGTTTGTTGTATGTAATGACAGAGAAAGCCTGGGTGCTGCAAAATAAGATAATAACAGTATAATAACATATTATTATATGCAGCAATATATTGACATATTCAGCACAATTTTCTATTGCACTTTGTTGAATGAATGCTAAAATGAACATTGTGTCAATTCGCAAATGAATCACTTGATTCAGACAGTTCTTTTTAATGAATCTGTTGAACCGATTGGAGGCAGAATCATCAGTCTAAATCATGGACTGGATTAGTCAGACAACTAAATCGATAACTCGGATAACTTGCTTCCTAAACCGTAATGAGCCAGTGAACTGGTGATGCGCATAATGTCTCTACTGAGTAGTTGTTTAATAAAGTATATATAATAGATGGAGTGGATCTTGGTCATGTAAGGAACACTGTGATAATGTGTTTTCTCTTCTGCAGGAATACTGGACTCCAAACAACCCCATGCAGAACACCATTATTTTGCTGATCGAGCAGATTGTGGTGGCTCTAGGCGGAGAATTCAAACTCTATCTGCCACAGCTCATCCCACATATGCTGCGGGTCTTCATGCATGATAACAGCCCTGGACGTAGCGTCACTATCAAGGTATACGCACACTCTGATATGAGTGTTAAAGTAGCACTTCTAACACTTAAAACTCACTGCAGACTGGTCAAATGCAACAGCCATCATGAACCACCAACAATGTATGAAATGTAACTGAAATTGAATCCAAGATAATATAAATGTCTGTAGTAGGAAACAGAGGAAAACAAAGTTGAAAAAGAATGGAATAAAAGAAAAATAAACAACTTCGGTGTGAAGCAGCAATAAGTAAATAAACTTCATGCATCTAGGGTAACAGGCGTCAGTACAGGCTCAAATACCACTGGTACTACAGGGAAGAAAGAGTATGCAAACTTGCTGAGTACAACTGCAACAATGACAAAGGCATTTTTATCACTGACTTAATGTTGAGATGAGCTGTTTTGCAAAATGGAAATACATTATAACAACAGTAAACAGTAGTCTCAAACACAAGTTGTATCCTTGTGGAAAACACCTTAATCACATTTAGCAGCACAGTGTTTTGAGCAACTTATGTTTCTCTTCTACTTTAAAGGCAGGGTGGGTGATTTGGTTCAAAAACATTTTTTGTTAAGCTGGTTGAAAGTCTCTTCACATCCCAATAGCAATCACTAAGTTAAGTGGTCAAAATTTATTTATATGTATATCGTCTGTGACATGCGTAGGACCATAAAATGTTTGTCCAATCATATTCCTCGGTCCGAGGATTACGATAGGCCATTCTAGGGCTGCCAAAAAAAAATAGAATTTCAAATATTCGTTGAATTTAAATAAAAATCCACATTCGAATGCAGACTAAAACCAAGCCGTTCACACAGAACTCATATTTCACGCATTTTCTAGAGGGACATCTATCACCGCTGCACTCGCGTCTCGCACAAAAGAGCCACATGTTTAGAAAGCCATGTACAATTAATGCAGGTTTAACTTTGAAAAAACATATCTCGAGACTTATGGCGCGGGTTTTTCCCCATCCCACTGCAACTCGTGTTTTGAAATGAAAAATTTACTTTCGGCCCTTTGTATTAAACTATGCATACATACATACATGATGCTGTTTTGTATAATATACAGCTATAAAGCTGTTTAAGTAACTTAATTAATTATAATTGAATTATAAACATTATTTTAAACATTATGCACTTTTTTCACAGATAATCATGTTTTCTTATGCTTTGAATAAATGTGCATTAGTAATATTGAGCCGCATGTTTAGAAAGCCATGTAAAATTAATGCAAGTTCAACTTTGAAAAAACATATCTCGAGACTTTATGGCAGGTTTTTTCCCCATCTGACTGCAACTCGTGTTTTTAAATTTACTCTGTGTGATTGGTTTTCGGCCCTTTGTATTAAACTATGCATACATACATACATGATGCTGTTTTGTATAATATACAGCTATAAAGCTGTTTAAGTAACTTAATTAATTATAATTGAATTATAAACATTATTTTAAACATTATGCACTTTTTTCACAGATAATCATGTTTTCTTATGCTTTGAATAAACGTGCATTAGTAATATTTTGCTCGATGCACCCTCTTGTGGCCTCAGGAGAGAAGCCAAAAGCTTTTCTTCACCCTAAGTGAAATTATGCATTATAAATTCGAATATAATTCGAAATTTGATAATATTTAAAGGCACAATATGTAATTTTCGCCGCTAGAGGGCGCGTATTCAAAAAAAAACAAAGAGACAAAGGTGTAGTTTGATGACGCCGTGACTGAGTGTGGAATCATGGGAGTTGTCGTCTTCATCCCCACAGCCGATGCAATCCGACGGGACTCGGGCAGAAATCATGTTCATGGATGAGCTAATGATTTATTAAGGTAGTAGAATGAAGCAGGGTGAGGCTGAAAGCCATCGAAGTGAAATGAGGCCGCTGAACGAGCGTGACACACGTCTCGAAAGCAGCGGAGCTTTTATTATGCCACAGTCGACCGCTTCCGCTCCTTCTGGTCGTGTGTATGTGGGGGAAAAAAGCAGCGCTGTTTTATCATACTAGATACATTTGAAAGTTCTGTTATAATGCTACTCTGTGCGGTCGTCACCGGTCTATTAAAATGCACAACATATTAAAGCGTCTTTGGTGTTTCCATGTTTTCTACAAAACAAAATCGGAAATCGAGGGGTTATGACGTCATTGGCAGGCGACACAATGACACTATGGACACGCTTAGTGTCACTAGATAAAATTGCTTATTTCTCTGGATTTAAACATTCTTCGAAACATTTGGGATAATGTAAGTACACAAGTCAGCAAAATATATAACACTGTTCTAGTGGTTTTTGGATATTTTAATAAAAAAAATCTTACATATTGTGCCTTTAAGTTAGAATACAAAATTTAAGTTTAGTAACAAAATTAGAATATAGTTTTTCAGCCATTTTGACAGCCCTACTGCACACCCTGTCATCAGCGTGTTCATTATACTATTGCAGACCGAGCGAGAATGGAAGGCGTTGTTGTTATTGTAATATTATGTGCTTTGTACTGTAATGTTTTCTCACCGGTGAATGAGACATGAGGTAATCTGACAGTTGCATTCAACCCTCCACCAACACCATCTCATCATGTCACTGATTAGCCTCTGGTCTGCCTGTGCACATTTTGGAAGAGGCGTGGCTTTGCAGAGTGATTATGCAGGGAGGGTGGAATCTTGCTTTCAAAGCTAACTTGCTGTTGCTAGCCTTTCCAAAATGGCCTACCCTACCTTTAGCTATTTCAGTCAAGTCACTAATGAAGGTTGCACTGCACAGCTTGAAAATGAATTGATAATGAATTTTGTTAATGTTTTGATCGATTGTTCTGATGGGGCTTCACGGAGCTGTTCGAACTTGGCAAAGAATTGTCCATGAAGCTGTTGCTGAAAAATTGAGATGCATTTAGAATCATTTTGAAACTGCATTGTGACTCCTTGAATCAAATTGATTTTACAAGAGATAAAGAGGTGACAACGCAAATAGCCAATCAGATCGGTGTGCTGATAAGCCTTGTTGTTGTCTGTCTGTCAGACTTACTGAACTGTCTGTGACGTAAGCAGCATAAATAGATGTTGTTATGATTCATGAAATTCAGACTAGGTATCCAGAGATTCTAGTGAATGGAGTTTCATTTGTAAATTACCATAAGATATCATATGTGAACAGGACCTTTAGAAAAATAAGTCAGTTCTGGCAGTTTTCTGGGACTATAACTTGTAACATTATCAGTAAATTACCATTATGATGCTATGTGTGAACAACTGATGTGAGTATATACGAGGTCTGGATGAGTTCACTTAATTTTGCTTTTGGCCAATCATAAAGTTTTGCCAAGAGCTGAGGAGATTACAGTGCTGTTTACAGTAATAATTGTAATTGTTTTTCTAAATTAACATATCCTAGATGGGCGTCTTTGACCACTGCACTGTGTCTCGCTGTGAGATGAGTCACATCTCGAGACCCAGTCTTCTTTTCCATTCTTCAGCGGCTCTGTGTTGAATGCTGTTGAGCAGAATCTCTCATTTTTAAAAGCAAAAATGCAGTCTGTGAGATCAGCCCCTTATATCTGTCACTCACAAGTAAAAAAAACTAAAGCACTTCTCCTCATCCGGGTGTATGAAGAAAACGGCACAATGTTTAAAGGTAATTTCTGTTGATGGACATCACAGAGTTTACCAATATTTTGGTTCTAGTGTGTGAGTGGTATTTTAGCAGTAAAAAGATAAAACACTGTTGCTTGTGCAAATAGCACATTTGTGACCCTGGACCACAAAACCAGTCTTAAGTGTGAATTTTTCGAAATTGAGATTTATACATCACATGGAAGCTGAATAAATAAGCTTTCCATTGATGCATGGTTTGTTAGGATAGGACGATATTTGGCTGAGATACAACTGTTTGAAAATCTGGAATCTGAAATGCCCTGGGTGTAAGCAGATAAACATCAAATTTAAATTTTTGGGTGAACTATCCCTTTAAGACTGGTTTTGTGCTCGTTTTGAAACATTGATCTGGATATTTTACGGCAATTTACCAAATTCAATGTGTGAAAGAATCTCATGCCTGCTGTCTGTGTCACCTGTTTCACATTATTTTAGTATGTGCTGAGTTTACCTTCGGGTGTCAGATGATCTCATCTCATATAAAACCTTCTTACGCGCTCCTCTGACGACCAGCTTCTGTCTGAATTTAGGTCATCTGATGATCTGGATTTCAGAACAGTTTTAGCATACATTTTTTTTTTGTATTCACAGACTAGTGAATATTCACAGACTAAACAAATATAAAAAACTAATATAGCATTTGTCTTTTTGTTATTAGTAATCGAAAGGCAAAATCTTTCTCATACACACTCATTATATGCATTTAATTTAAATGAGTGTTTGAATATATAATAAATGATTAATTCCATGAACCTTGCAAACATTAACAAATCCAGCTGTTAAATCCTCTGAAGTTTTGCATTTTGTGTAAAAATCTATGTAATCTATCTGTGGTGGTCCATTCGTGTGAATTGGATGCGTAGAGTTGACTGATACTGTATGAGTATAGAAAATCGGTTGCCCTGGACAATAGTTTATTATTAATTTTAGATCCCTTAAAAAAACACATTATATATACATAGAGAGTTAAATTATACTATATGAGTATAGAAAATTGGTTGCCCTGGACAACAGTTTATGCACAGAATGCCTCAGAGTCAGCCAGGTATTCCCTAAAAACATGTAATAAATCAAGCTAATTTGCAGAAAATTACATATATATATATATATATATATATATATGTGTGTGTTCCTGGCCAGACTGTGACCTGTGAAAATCCTCCTTCACACTTCAAAAGAAAGTCTTCCCAGAGCTCCTCAATCATTAGACGTCTTCTCCGCCAGTCTTCAGCCCCTGACAGATGTGTGTAGCTACTGGCCAAACCCACATATCCCACTCAAGTAATTTAGCCCTACATCCACATGAGTCCTCTCTCTCTGGGGAGTCCATAACCACCGTCTGCGTCACTGGGAGCACTGAGGTCACCCTGAAGGAGCTCTTAAACTGCCTGCCAGTTGTTGCAAGACAGATAAGAAAACAAAAGCTCGGTCATTCACGTGAGCTGCTCTGTCTAGATTTTGACTGTGCTTCCCCAGAGCATCTAAAACACATACGTTTAAGTGGCCACCTCGTAGCAATATTTCTCTAAGTTTTTTTTTCTTTTTCTTTTTTTTTTGTCATTTTGTATTATTGATCGCAGTTGGAAAAATATTCTTGAGTCACATATCATATAAAAATAATACGAATTATTTTTTGCATAAATGAACTCTGTTTTTAAGTACTATTGAAGTTTGTTTATTTATTTATATATTATTATTATTTTTATTTTTTATTTTTTTTGCATTGTAGCATTCCAGTCACTTTATAAATTTACTGCAAAGGAGTCACAGACCCCTTGTGTGGGGTCTGTGACTAGCCCTCCACTAAACCTCACTCACTGCATTTTTTTGTTTCTAATGCTTTCAACCTTTTCTTTTAGCTTTAGATGTATTCCTCTTTTCTAAGTCACTTTGGGTATCTTTATTTTTGTTCGACTTTAATAATAAAAGGAGGCTAAGAAGATGTGTTTTTTTTTGTTTTTTTTTATGATTAATGTGTTCATTGCTATGTGCATGACTCTTCAAAAATGTGATATTTTTTTCAATAACTCAATAATAAATCAATTTTCTATTATGTATTTATATACTGTGGGTCACTGTTTGCCCGTTGCTATGCAATGGCTCTGATTCATTTAACAGGTTTTGGCAGAGATGTACTTCTTGATGCACCACTTTCACAGTTTTCAGGCAAACTTCTTCCTTATGTCTCCTAGCTGCTCATGGCCATCCAGCTGTTTGGAGCTAACCTGGATGACTACCTCCACCTACTGCTGCCACCCGTAGTGAAACTGTTCGATGCCCCTGATGTCCCCCTGCAGGCCCGCAAGTCAGTATGAAAATCTTCTGCTCTGCTCAAACTCCCTAAGAAATACATTTCCTTTAAAACAAGTGTTATTCAAACCAGTGAAGTAGCGAAAGTAAACATTAACTGTGTATAGCTGAAGTACTTGGTATGATGGATGGATGACAGTTTTTACTTAATACTCTATACTTCTTATAAAAGAGTATTTTTGACTATATAGCTTTTGGTTGAAGTCAACATAAATCACCACTCACAACCTATTTTATTGCTGTAATATCACAAGTAAAACAGGATATATTAATTCAGAAAGAGAATGTAAGGTGACGGGTTGCTTTTATTTCTTAAGGAATTGATTGGATGGTGAAAATGGCTGTTCCTTATCAGAAAGGAGCCACACTTGAATGAAACAGCTTTCTGAAATAAAGCCTAAATATTTACAGTGCTGTGAAAATGTATTTGACCCAATCCTAATTTCTTCTGTTTTTTTCTGTATATTTCATATTAAATTGTTATAGATCTTTATAATGAAATACAACATAGTTTTTTTTTAATATATTGTTTTTTTGTTTTTTTTAAGTTAGCCAACACCTATCACCTATGTGGAAAAAACTAATTGCCTCCTTAAACTTTAAATCTGTTTGAGCCACCTTTAGCAGCATTAGCTGCAGTCAAACACTTCCGATCAGTCTTTCACAGCGCTGAGGCAGAATTTTGTCCCACTCTTCTTTACAGAACTGCTTTAGTTTGGTCTTATTGGAGGGATTTTTCAGCATGAACTGCCTGTTTAAGGTCCTGCCATTGCATCACTATTGGGTTTAGTTGGGTCATGACTTTGACTAGGTCACTCCAAAACTTTTTTGCTTTTTTTGAGCCATTCAGAAGTGGACGTACTCCAGTGCTTTGAATCTTTGTCTTGCTGCATTGTCTTGATTGCATGCTCCTTTAGGATTTTCTGATAGAGGGCAGAATCCATGTTTCCCTCAATTATTGCAAGTTACACAGGCCCTAAACCAGCAAAGCTTCCCCTCATCAGCACACTGCCACCACCATACATTCTCCCAAATTGTTTGAGGTCATCAAGGTATGTTTTGGCAAAATTCAGATGAGCCATAATGAACAGTGACTTTTATTGATGCAAGAGAGGCCTGCAGTTCTTTCCATGTTGTCTTTTGTGACTTCCTGGATGAGTCATCGTTGTGCTTTTGGAGGAATTTAGGAAGGTCAGTCACTTCTGGGAAGGTTTGCTACTGTGCCGTTTTTTTTTTTCCAATTGAAGATAATGAACAGGACTGGCAATAGTCAGGTCTGGTCTAGTCCAGCTGAACAGATTCTGCAAATACATTTTCACCCAGGTCCAGTTGGTATTAGATAACTTTTTTGCAATAAATATTTATATAATTTTAAACTGTATTTTGTGTGTTCTTAGGTTGCCTTTGTCTGTCTTATGTTAGATTTTGTTTTAATTTCTGAAACAATTCAGTATGATATACACAAAATAGCAAAATATACATTTCATAGCACTTTAATTTTCTGTTAGTGTTTATTAGCAGTCGAAAAGGGAATTTTGTTTTTCCATTCATAAAAATTGTTTCAGAGATTGTTTGTTTGTTTTTGGAATAATGTGAATGAACAACTGAGGAACAATGAAATCAAGAACATATTAAAGTAAATGGGTTCAATTTTGAGTTCACATTTACTTGAAGAGTAAGCGTAGGTCAGTAGAGGTAGTGAAATTGTTTTCGCAGCACTGGTAAAGATGGATGTGAACAGGTAACCCCAGACTCTATGAAGACAGGATCACATTAACACAGCGGCTTTGGCCAGCTGTTACTCTGTCATTACTCTCAGCGAAACCTTTTTAACAGACAAGAATCTGCGTTTGATCCCTATTGTTTTACTGATAAAGCGTTGAGCTGAGTTTAAGAAAGAATTTTGAAGAGAAAGGTAGACATGGATTGTATTTTATTAATGTGTTTGAGTTTATTGGCTGTGCAGATGTGTTTCTTAGGAAACTCAGTAAATACAGTCAGACTGTGTCTACTCTACTGATTCAAATGTTTTTTGAAAGCTATTAATATACCAAAGCCAAATAATTATATTAGCAATAAAATGAACACTAAAAAAAGTGGAGAAAAAAAATCTATAAGAAGTTCTGTAAGAACTTCAGATTTTATCAGTTTACTGTCACCAATACATGTTTTATTCACATTTAGTTTT